CCGCCGACGTAGACGTAGTTCTTCATGGACGTCGTGCCCCAGGACACGACGAGCGTCGTCGCGGCGGCGAGCGCGTTGATGAGGGCGATCTCGCCGAGCGCCGCCGGGTCGAGGAGCTCGGCGCGGTGTTTTCGGAGGATCGCGGCGACGCGGTCCGGGCACAGGACGCCCTGCGACGTGCTCCCGGCCGCCGTCTTCAGGATCGCGACCGTGCGGTTCCCCGGTACCGGCGCGCCGCGGTCGACGAAGTGGCGGTGGACGAAGGCGGAGAGCCGCAGCGCCACCACCGGCGGCGCGTCCCAGTAGCTGTGCCACTCGCACGGCACGATCTCGAGGCGGCGGCACCGGTAGGTGACGCCGCGTTCCACGTAGCGCAGCCGCGCGCCGTCGAGCAGGCCCCGCGCCGCGGCGGCGCGCACGATTTCGAGCATGCCCGCGCTCGACCCCGTCTAGACGAGGATCGTCTCGCCCGCCGCCCGCCGGTCGACGAGGTCCATCAGGATGAGCCAGAAGCCCGTGAAGCCGTGCACGGTCCCCGTCGAGAAGGACGTGACGAGGGGCACGACGGCGGAATCGACGGGCGTCGCCGCGGCCGCGTCCGCCGCCGCCAGGGACGCGTAGAGCTCCGCGGCGGCGGCGAAGTAGGGCCGGAACTGGCGCCGCTTCGCAATGTCGTCGTAGTAGTCCTTCTTCAGCAGCGAGAGCCACTCGTTGGACGCCGCGAGGCCCCGGCGGTCGCGCTCGCGCACGGCGAGGACCTCGACGTGCGTCTCCCCCCGCTCGTCGACGCGGTAGAGCACGTCGTCGGCGGCGAGGAGCGACTCGTCGACGCGCGAGAAGAGCGTGTCGACCGTGATCGTCGCGCCGCCGGGCAGCGGCCAGGCGCTCGCCTTGTGGTGGCTGCGGCGCGGGGCCTTGGCGCCGCGCTGGTACGCGTGCGCGGCGCACCAGCCGCCGACGAGCTTCCCGGGCTCGCAGCCGTAGACGCGCCCCTCGCCCTCGCCGTGCTCGACCCAGTGGGCCTTGGCGCGTTCCAGGTCGCAGTCGCGCGCGGAGTCGCAGAACACCGCGCGCAGGTCCGCGTAGCGCTGGACGTAGCAGCTCGCGT